AAGTTGGGCGTAAGACATTTAGGCAAGATGTAGCCATCACGTCTTGCTGATCTGTTTTCATATGCATATCAATCGAAATTTCTGCTCGGATTGGTAAACTTAAAACAAGGTAATTTGGCAAAGAAGTTTAATAAGCTTCAGGTTTATCGTTGATCTGATATGGTTCAATAACCATCAAATAGCCCTTCCATTGTTTTACCTACCTGAACTAGAAAACAGGAGACCAATGAGACCGCCTCATCGGTTTCATATTTAGATCTATGCATAAACATTCAGACGAAATCCTCTCTGCAAGACTGAATGACAAGAGGGGTTAATTCACCTTTCCAACAGTCAACTGTCCGATGCAGTAACCTACTTTGACTTGTACATATGTTTTCGTGTTGTTTTTTCAGATGAACAATGAACTTGACTTTGCATGTGTTTGTGACGGGTGTGTTTGTGAAAAATTGGTTTGGCGATATTCTATGAACCCAAGTCTAATCCCTTACCATCGTGTAAAATATGTCAGTCTGTTGAGTTTCTGTAATAGATTCCGCTCACTCATGTACATCGAACATTCTCACACAATGTATGCTCCCTCTCGTAACAACATGGCGATCATTCCGGTGATCAGCAAATGTGCACGCCAACCTTATGAACCATATAAACTGTTCTAAAGACTGACAGTGTTTGTTATGTTTGTTTGATGTGTGGCGTTACCACAGTTTCATGCTGCTTTCAGAATCTTGGATTTCTCGCACGCCTGAGGACGCGCCACCGTGTATATGACGTCAACGGCGAGTGCAACGAGGAGTGACGTTGTACGATTGTGCACGTCGGCATGCATTCAGTTATATACACGGCGGAACAAGCCGATTCAACTCGGAATGTTTTACAAATTGCAGCACCATCTGGCGTTCTATATTGTCAACTTCCTTTCGTGCTCACTGTCGTTCTTTATTGTCAAGGTCCTTTCGTGCTCACTGTCGTTCTATATTGTCAACGTCCTTAGGTGCTCACTGACGTTCCTTCGTACACATTGTTCTTTCTTTTCTTATGACGTCTTTTCGAAACATTTGACTATTAATATTGCGTACTTTTGACCTTTATTTTAACTTTGTATTTTTTTAACCGGCTTCTGTTTGTTTTGTATTTTGACCTTCAGTAGTAACATTTAGTTCTTTTTTCGTAATATTTGACCCTTATTGTGTACTTTTGTCCTTTTTTTTAACTTTGTATTTTTTAACCGAAATCTGCATCCTCCCATGTCGTATATGGTGATGTGTTACGAGGGAAAGCAGAGGTGAGTTGTGAAATCAGTAAATGACAACACAATATCAATGAATAATCAATTTTAATTATATTGCAACACAAAGAATCAAAGCGACACCATGGAACAAAGAAGTAGGAGTAGTTTGGTTTGTTTGTTGTTTAACGCCGCACTCAGCAATATTCCAGCTGTATGGCGGCGGTCTGTAAATAATCGAGCCTGGACCAGACAATCCGGTGATTGACTTCAGCATGCGCATCGATCTACACAACTGGGGTACGATGACATGCATCAATCAAGTCAGCGAGCCTGACCACCCGATCCCGTTAGTAGCTTCTTACGACAAGCATAGTCGCCATTTACGGCAAGCTTGGGTTTCTGCTGCAGTAAGTAACAGGCCCTAGAATTAATGAACATCCACGAATGTTCCCTGTCCCAGTCGAATGTCTTGAAACAGGCCTGTATCCGTTCCTCAGGTACTCGGTGTTTACCACAAGGTTCCCAATGCCCCATTTGCAAGTCGATAGGACGCAAGCCAGGTGGAAAAAGGTCTCGAATCGCATTTTGTCGCTCTTACATAGATACAGACAGCCTCCCAGAAACTGTCCCTTCCCGAAACTCGAACAATCAAGCCCGCCATGGTCATGTATACAAGGGCGGTAACTCTAAAATGCTCTCGCTGCCAACGAAAGCATTTGACCATTTACCAGCACTTCAAACAATGCTGCCAGTGACAATTAATACAAACAAATTTGCGGTCTTGCCGCTTACCAGTTGTCGTCCAAACCCCTGCATATGTAATTTTGTAATTATCTCGAGGCCTAAACATGACATTATTACAGCTTAACAGGTGCATTACATTTCGTGACCAGTGAAGATCCGGTCTTCAGCAACCCATGCTTGCCGTTAAATGCTTTGTTTGTTTGTTTGTTTGTTGTTTAACGCCGCACTCAGCAATGTGCCAGCTATATAATGGCGGTCTGTAAAATAATCGAGTCTGGACCAGACAATCCAGTGATTGACATCATGAGCATCGATCTAAGCAATTGGGATCGATGACATGTATCAACCAAGTCAGCCAGCCTGACCACCCGATCCCGTTAGTCGCCTTTTACGACAAGCATAGTCGCCTTTTACGGCAAGTATGGGTTGCTGAAGACCTATTCTACCCCGGAATCTTCACGGGTTTGTTAAATGCGACTATGCTTGTCGCAAGAGGCGACTAACGGGATCGGGTGGTCAGACTCGCATGTCATTGTATCCCAATTGCGTGGATTGATGCTCATGATGTCAATCACTGGATTGACTGGTCCTGACTCGATTGCAGACCGCCGTCATATAGCTGGAATATTGCTGAGTGCGGCGTTAAACAACAAACAAAACAAAGCATTACATTTCGCACCTTTTCCTTTGGGCAAAAAAGGGGGGAAGCGTCACACATCAGTTCAGAAAAAATACGATAGCACTGAAGTCCAGCCTGCATCGGCTTATGAAACACTGAGCAACATGGGCTGCATATAGAATTAAAACTCTACAAAACGCATATACATAGTTAGAGTTTAAGCAGAGCTTATCTTATACATGTGTGTGTGTGTGTGTGTGTGTGTGTGTGTGTGTGTGTGTGTGTGTGTGTGTGTGTCATAGACTGCACGCACGCGCGCACACACACGCATAGGGAATAGCTGACATGCTAACATGGTAAAAATGCCATAGGTTACCGTTAACAACACGAGTCAATTAAGGTAATTAAATCATTTAAGGAAATGCAAGCATTACGTGATACTAATGACACAGGTGGGCTCTTTCATTATTGACTGAATGATTTTACTGAGATAAACGTCTGTCTCTTATTGAGTCATGGGGATTCTGGGTCAGAATATTTCCCGAGTAGCCTATGATTGCCTAAGGTCGGCTATACAGATCGATGATCGATTGAACGTGTTACTAAAGTTTGTTTGTTTGTTTGTTGTTTAACGCCGCACTCAAAAATATTCCAGCTATATGAGTCACACAATCCAGTGATTGATATCATGAGCATCAATCCATGCCATTGGATACGATGACATGCATCAACCAAGTCATCGAGCCTGACCAATCGATCACGTTTGTTGCCTCTTATGACAAGCATAGTCGCTTTTTACGGCAAACAAGGGTTGCTGAAGACGTATTCTACTCCACATCTTCACAGTATCAGCCAATCTAAGTGAGATGAAGGCTAGTTTTAAGATTTTTGTGTTTATTCAATTGCTCACCTAAGTCTTGTCAGAAGAGTATTTGATTGTCCAATCTCTGGTTGGTTTATCTATCTACACATTTGCTGTAACCACCATTGCACTGCTGTAGGATCTGCTGCACAACAGCATGCTCCTCTCATTGGGTCCGCTTCAGTATCGACCCGTGAAGATCCGGGGTAGAATAGGTCTTCAGCAACCCATACTTGCCGTAAAAGGCGACTATGCTTGTCGTAAAGGGCGACTAACGGGATCGGGTGGTCAGGCTCGCTGACTTGGTTAATACATGTCATCGATCCCAATTGCGTGGATCGATGCTCATGATGTCGATCACTGGGTTGTCTGGTCCATACTCGATTATATTACAGACCGCCGTCATATGGCTGGAATATTGCGGCGTTAAACAACAAACAAACAAACAAACAAAACATTTCAGTATCAGTGCAGATTTCATTTCTGTAAGTCCTGCATATCCGGGTTTTACCGGACTCAATATTGCATGTTATACAGATTGGGAATACACTCAAATAATTAACATTGCAAGTCCTGTGGGATTCAAAAAGAGTATGTGTTGGAATAATTAAATTGGTCTACCTGACTATTTTGGGTTCCTACCGAAAATGGACAAAGTATTCAGAGGTTTTAGACAGATGTCCTAGGCATTGTATGGCCTACCCTGTTCAGCGAAAAATGTTGTATGTCTCGAAACAGTGACGCAAGTTTTTAAAAAACCACACCAAATAATCACACACACACACACACACACACACACACACAAGCACGCACGCACGCATATACACACACGCACACGCCTCATCATCCCATCCCAAGAATTATAGGTTGCCCCTGGTGTGCATAAGACACATAAATATAATAGGCCTTGTTCACTTGAGACGTCCAACACTGAAGCTTCACCCTTGATCATTGATCGACCTGACTATTTTGGGATCCTACCGAAAATGGACAAAGTATTCAGAGGTTTCAAACAGAGGTTCTAGGCATTGTATGGCCTACCCTGTCCAGGGAAAAATTGTGTGTGTCTCGACTCTTGAAACAGTGTCGCAAATTAAAAAAGAATCACCAAATAATCACACACGCACGCACGCACGCACGCACGCACACACACAGACACACACACCCGCACACGCCTCATCATCCCATCCCAAGAATTATAGGTTGCCCCTGGTGTGCATAAGACACATAAATATAATAGGCCTTGTTCACTTGAGACGTTCAACACTGAAGCTTCACCCTTGATCATTGGTCTACCTGACTATATTGGGATCCTACCGAAAATTGACAAAGTATTCAAAGGTTTTAGACAGATGTCCTAGGCATTGTATGGCCTACCCTGTTCAGCGAAAAATTGTGTGTGTCTCGAAACAGTGATGCAAATTTACAAATCACCAAATAATCACACACACACGCACACGCACACGCGCACGCGCACACACACGCACTCACACGCACGCACGCACGCACGCACGCACGCACACACACACGCGCGCACGCACGCACGCACGCACGCACACACACACACACACACACACACACACACACACACACACACACACACACACACACACGCATACACACACACCCAATCATCCCATCCCAAGAATTATAAGCTGTCCCAACACGAACTAATATCTGAGCCTTATTCCCCACAATGCCAATTTGAGTCATGTAATTTAATACAACAAGATTTCTATCATTCGAACTGAGACAGATCCTTCTATGTAGATGGAGGCCGGCTTTGCCCCTGGCACTCTCTCAGTGAAGTTAAACATGCTCTTGCCATCGATATCCAGCTGGAAGAAAAACAAAGAGTCGTCGTTATTTTGTTTGGTTTATCATTTCACGTTTGATTCATCCATTCAATAAAGAGAATCGGACAACGATGATGACATGATAATGGTATGGTTATGAACCTCATCATAAAACACTCATTCCAGGTCATGCTGAAGTTTTTCTCCAAATCCTTATCACAAAGATAAGTCACATCACATAAAACTCATTCCAGACCGTGCTATGGTGTTTTTTGTCTAAGCCTCATCACAAAGCACACATTCCAGGCCATGCTGATTTTTTCTCTCTGTCTCATCACAAAGATAAGTCACATCACAAAGCACTCATTCAAGGCCATGCTAAAGTTTGTTCTCTAAGCCTCATCACAAAATTAAAGCACTCATTCTAGGCCATGCTGAAGTTTTCTCTGAACCGTTTGACAGAGCACACATTCCAGGCCATGCTGAAGTTTTTCTCTAAGCTGACTCACAAAACACTCATTCCAGGCCATGTTGAAATTGTGACAATGTCCAATCACAATGTAACAACGGAATAATCAGTTGGTTGTGACCAAGAAATACCTACATAATGTATGTCACAACCTAAATATAAACAAAGTCAGACAATCACCTACCCTGTATATTCCACCGTGGAATGTTATCTGGACCTCTGTTTCTTGTCCTACAGTCATGGGAAGACTCTGAACACGAACCGGTTGGCCCCATAAACCATTAATTTTAGTGTTCATGACTGTTACATTCATATAAGAATCGTAGTTAAAACGGAACTCTGATAAGGCAAGCACATCCGTGTCTTTCCATAGCCAGATATTCCACCTGTGTTGACTGAAAAATAAATTCACTTTGAAATAGGTGTATGGGCTAACAGAACACGAGAAATATACTCCTCATACATTGCAAGACACAGTTAATATTGATATCCATATGTGAAAGACATCGAAACATCTCTCGTATACATGCGATATGTGAAGCATGAATATGGTGTTATTCGGTACGAAATTAATCATTTAATTGTTGGAATCATCAAAGAGTGAGTGAGAAAGTGAGTAGGGTTTACGCCGCTTTTAGAAATATTCCAGCAATACCAGGGCGGGGGACACCAGAAATGTGCTTCCCACATTGTACCCATGTCGGGAATCGAACCCGGGCCTTCGGCGTGACCAGCGAACGCTTTAACCACGAGGCCACCTGACCACTTATCACCAAGGAGTAGCAATGACCAACTACATAACCTGGTCATCTGTTATGGGTGTGATAGGGGGTAGGGGGCGATGAGATTGGTCATAGAACTGTATCATAATTTGACCTTGACCTTTGGCAATACAGTGTCACAGCGTGACACACCTTTTTCTACAAATATTTCCTCTTTGATTTATGGTATGGTATTCTGTAATTTAGGTTTGTGGCAATCAGCCCATTTTTACCAAACCCTTACTGTATAATGTCATTAGTCAATAGACCGCCTCCATGTTTTTTTGGTAGAGCGTCCGCTCGGAGAGTGGAAGGTCCCCGGGGTTCGATCCCCGGCTGCGTCATACCAAAAGACGTTGAAAGATGGTACTTGTTGTAACCCTGTCTGGCGCTCGGCATTAAGGGGTTAAAACAAGGACTGGTCGGCTCGGAGTCAGTATACTGGGCCTGAGTGGGGTATTTATGTTAAACTGCGGCATGGTCTCTCAGTGAGCTAGCACTATAAATCGGCATCAGTCCGGACTAGTACAAGCAGCCACACAAACACACACACGTACATGCACGTCGCTATATAAGTGCCATAATCTTGGACAGAGTTGTTGACTCCCCCCATCCCACCCCAAAGAGCTATGTCGTCACCCATCAACTGTTCACAGTAAATGTATGATATTTCTCATAACTACATGTATATCCCAAGTTACAAGAAAATATCTTGAACGGTATTATTCAAAACAAGGAATGTTAACTGACTTTAGCTCTTTAGCATGAACATTACCTGTTAGCGTGGGTCGGTGTTCCAGTGACAGTCGCCCTGAACTTGTCTGATGGCCCACATGGAAGTGCATAGTGAACCCTCAGGACCTACAGAAAACATAAAAAACATTTATCATTCGAAACGGTTTAAGGCTGAAAGCAAATTCATAAAAAAAATAATAATAAAGAAACGAGGAACATTTAGCTAAAACAGAAGTCAATTAAACATTGAATTTTACGCATATATATTTTAATGATAAAAATTATTATTCGCTAGCTCCAAAGTTTACAGACTTAACATTGCCTAAACAATGAAACAATTTAGTTTTTGGTAACGCCAACGACCCATCATTAAAGGACATTCATACAGTTTGGCCAAACATTCATACATTAATACGGAAAAGCTGTCGCGTGTAAACTTAACATTAAAAAATTATTTCACTTTGCAATTCAAGTTTTCTAATTACCTCAAATCATGAAACCTTTTTAATCTACCCACACTTTAGACCAGTTTTGGGCATGTTGCCAGAAGAACGAACAATATCGTCTTAATTTACTCATAGACAATGACAGAACCAGTGAATGAAACTACTTACCGGATTGTGCCAAATAAACTGACCACACAGGCCAGCCGTCAAATTCTCCCATTGTCCAGATGATTGACAGATGCTGGTAACTTTGTCATAACAGGCCCTGAAGTCCTGCCTGCACGTATAGGTTGTTACACTCCCCAGGTAGTGACCCTCGTACGTGTTGGTGGCGTTTGTCACTTCTTGAGGCTGACCACACCCTCGGAACTCTGAAGGATAAGTCATACATTCCGAGCTAAGTCAAGGTTAACTGTGAAATACATTGACATTTGTTTGGTTGACATTACAAAAGATTATCAACTTCCTGTTTCATGATGCGGGTTCGGCATGGAATCGTTTGTTTCAATTGTGTTGTCATAGATACGAAAGGTAATTAAAAAATTCATGGTTCTGTTAAATGGATGCATGTGACCATTAATAGTTGGTTGCGAGGGGAGACCGGTAGTTCAGTTGTCTTGGATGCGCCAGAAGATCAATAGTTCTGTTGTCATGGATGCGTCAGTAGATCAATGGTTGTGTTGTCATGGATGCGCCAGAAGATCAATAGTTATGTTGTCATGGATGCGTCAGTAGATCAATAGTTGTGTTGTCATGGATGCGCCAGAAGATCAATAGTTCTGTTGTCATGGATGCGTCAGTAGATTAAAAGATGTGTTGACATAGATGCGTCAGTAGATCAATGGTTCTATTGTCATAGATGCGTAAAAAGATTAAAAGTTCTGTTTTCGTAGATGCGTAAATATATCAAAAGTTCTGTTGTCATAGGTGCGTCAGTAGATCAATGGGTGAGTGTGTGAGTGAGTTGATTAATAGCTCTGTTGTTGAGCTTGTTGATTAATAGTTTAGATGTACTGCCACCTTCACTATACAATAAAATGCGGTTATAACGAACTCAAAGGGACCACTAATTTAAGTTCGTAATAACCGTAGTTCGTAAAAAGCATATATACAGCATGTATACATCAAATGGCCGGGACTAAAAAATAAGTTCGTTTTATCGGTCAGTTCTTTAAGCGTGTTGGTTATAAACGTAGTTTACTGTACTGTGTTACTACTACTGCTACTATTACCAATACTACTGTTGCCATGACTAATACAATTACCAATAACACCCCAACAACAATCCCAATTAAAATAGTCACTATTGTTACCAACCCCGTGAAGATCCGGGTTACAATTGATCTTCAGCAATCCAGTCTTGTCGCATGAGGCGACTAAAGGGGATTGCGTAGATCGATGCTCATGATGTCAATCACGGAATTGTGTGGTCCAGATTAATATTTTTACAGACAACCGTCATATAGCTGGAATATATCTGGAATCAAAATCAGGAAACTCCTAGAAGCCATCTACATCAAAAGGATCCAGCCAGCAATGAACAGAGACCAAGGCTATTACATCCCGCCTGCTTACCATCACCTAATTGCTAAATCCCTTTGTCCATCCAATTAATACAGTGGCTTCCATCATCTCCATCAGTCTGCTTGTTTACTCTGCTAGTATACTCTGTGTTCATTAGTCATCAACTGGCTTCAAATTAGCTTAATCACCTCTCTGTGTCCATCAACTAGTCACTTGACTTAGATGTCAATAAGTGTATATATGTTACAGAAAAAAAGTATAATCATGGGTTAAATCTAATGACTGAAAGTTTCAGTGATTATGTCTAATAACTGATTCACTCGGTGGTTATGTCTAATTACTGAAATCTTCAGTAATTAGACATAATCACTGAAATGAACCAAGGGATTTTATACTTGTTTACTGAAAGCATATTCCTGCCTTGTTTTTATAATGTGTGCTAGTTTTGAAATTAGAGTAGCTATCAAAGTAAATACAACCGCCTGTAGCCAGATACCTATATCACAGAAATAAGCTTAAGCAGTTCAATCTTTTATTTCATAAAATGGTATGACAAATAGCAGTCAGATGGACACTCGGGAATGTTTGTTTGCACATGAAAGACTTGAATGAGATCTAGAATTACATTGCATCTTGGCCTTAAAACATTTGCAGCGATTGGTCTGACACCGTTTAGTTCCAACACAATTACACCTTACAAAGCCTTGACCACCACAGACTGAGTCAAGTTGAACCGCTTGACGCAAAGAGAGTGTTCGATCGGTATTTTGTTACAACACATGATTCTGTTTGTTTACAGGAGATTGGCTAAGGACAGGATTATGAAGCCTTCTCACAAGTTATTATAAAAATGCAGGAATATGCTTTCAGTAAACAAGTATAAAATCCCTTGGTTCATTTCAGTGATTATGTCTAATTACTGAAGATTTCAGTAATTAGACATAACCACCGAGTGAATCAGTTATTAGACATAATCACTGAAATTTCCAGTTATTAGACTTAATCACTGATTATACTTGTTTCCTGTAACATATATACCTATGTTGTTTAGCCCTATCCATCACTTGCTTGATAAAGGTGTTAGGATCTACACCGAAACGTCGCATTAATTGTAATAAAGAAGTTGTTCATCCATAGAACTCGTCTTACAACAACAACAACAAAGAAACCTCTTCATCTAAAATTAAGACACCACTAGGGATGGTAATTACAAAATCGAAAATATTTCTCAAACAGTCCTTAGACTATCAAAACATTTTGTGTTCGATTTGCCAAACGGGTACAGTGTGTGAAGTTCCTTCACTAGTTTCGAATAGTGGTCTGGCTAGTCTATTGCCTGAGTGCGGCGTAAAACCATACTCATTGAATCATATTTGATATAGTCATTATAACAAACAAACGTTAGAAATAACATATGTAAAGATTTTGATAATAATACTAAAGCCATTTGACACTGATTTTATGGGATGGAGTTTGTTACCTGGCACACATGTAGCAAGATCAAGTCGATTCACCTGACACCTGGAAGTCGCGGGACATTGCTTCTGAGAACAGGGACCTGCGATGGACTGGAACAAAAAAATAAAGGGGAATGTGAATTTGCATTGAAACTGTTGCACGTGCACGTGTGCGAGCGTGTCTGTGCGTGCGTGCTTATGTGCATCGCGTGTGTGCTTTTTGCTGCACTCAGTAATATTTCAACTATCATGACAGCGGCCTGTAAATAATCTATCTGGACCAGACAATCCAGTGGTTAATCTTATGAGCTACGATCTACGAGCTACGTTAATGTTACAGACTGGATCATATCAATCAGACAAAGTATCGGTAGCATAGTTATAGATTGATATAACTACATGTTATACTATTGAATTCGCCATGTGTGAAATTTAAGTTGTGTTTCCCAACGTAGTCATCATTAGTACACCAAATTCTGGCTCTTAGATGAGTCTATTTGTCAGCGGGGGTAAAACTAGTTTAATCACGGTCTAGTGCCACACCGCTTGAATTGTCCGGTTTCCGACCCCTCTCCGCAAAGTCCGGTGGTCGTCATTGTACAGTGTCATTGCTGTCTGTGTTACCGACTATTTCATTCTCTTGTGATTTAATGGCACACTCTTACTGAGTTGGGGGCGGTCGGGTAGCCTAGTGGTTAAAGTGTTCGCTCGTCACGCCGAAGACCCGGGTTCGATTCACTTACTGACTCTAAGATTTCTGACGTGCCCAAGGGACGCAACTCCACGCAGCGAATTGCGGCGCCTTAGACGACTCGGTCACCCGTGCTCCCAGATGAAAGTACCAGTACCCGGATTTGTAATATAATGGAGGAATTGCATGGTCCACGTGCAATGTTTCGCGTGTGTTGGTGAGGGAGTTGGGTATCGTTTCAAAAACTTCTTTTTTCAAAGCTGACCTTTCTTCTGATGATTGATCAAAAAAATTATATTATGATCCCCTACATTTTGGGAAGAGCATTTTGGCAGATATTATCAGGCTATTTTGTTTTAATGACAGGTTAATTGTATCCCCAAACCTCCATTAAGTTAATGGCTGGGTAATGTAAGTTGGTGCCAGTTAATTCATATTGTCCATGATTATGAGAACTTGTGTAAATTAACCCTATGTGGAGATTTTAATGCAAGGACTGGTCAGGAATTAGATTATTTCATAGATGAGATTGATTATCTACCTATCAATAAAGAAAACACATCAGATGTTTTTTGTCAAAAGACCCTACTTTAATTGTGTAAGTTACTTGGGGTTTACATCATTAACGGAAGGACAAACTCAGATAGTCAAGGTAATCTTACTTTCATTTCATTTATTATATTGTTTCATCGAGTTTATTTGAATCTATTACAGATATGTCAGTGGTTGACCGAACCGACTCAGATCACTTGCCTACTGTCTGTCACTTCAAATATCTTACTATTTGTTCTTTTCAACAAAATAATAATGTCAACACTCCTTACACTACAACAATATTCTGGACTATTAATGTCCTAAAGAATAAATTGGTCCAAGTCTTGAAAGACCTTCGTGCTTCAGGCATCTAAGACAATGATCCTGTATATAAATTACTTAAGAAAAAAACAAATTTATCTCATTTTCCACAGCAAATTCTATATTGGTGGTACAAGTGTACCCATTTTGTTATAAGGCTCTGAATTATGGGGCATTAAATATTTTGAATACATTCATGTGTTCATACTTTGTATTTTATGCGATGTTTCTGCATTGGTAAATATGCTTCAAATAAGGCAGTACTTTGTGAAACAGGTCGCTGTATTATATATGTTCATAGCCAGAATATTGGATAAAATTATTGAAAATGGAAGCTCACAGGTATCCATTTTAATGTTACAAATTCTGAAGCAATTAAATGATGAAGGGAAAACGAATTGTGTGTCTGCTGTAAGAAGCATGTTATTTAGTTCTGGAATTTCCATTGTATGGATCTTACAAGACACCGGTAATAAAAAAACTATTTTAAAAACATTTAAACAAAGAATATTAGATATATTTCAGCAAAAAGGCACCAACTGGTCTCCTCTTCACATTGTCTCAATCATTATGCTAGTATCAAGTCATTGTTAGAATCAGAAACAAACATTAACTGTGTTACAAGATAAATCTCTATTGAGAACTCTCCATAACTACAATGTCAATAAATGTCGTAGAACCAATTATATTGATTCTGTTAATTGTGTATGTACTAACTGTAACAACCAGGAGATTGAAGAGTTTCATGTTCTTTTTATTTGTGATCAAAGTTTCTTTCGACATTACACACAAAGACAGTCAACTAGTGATCAATTTGGTGAATTCAAAAATGGAGATTTTATCAAATCTAAGCAATGTATTTAAAACATGCATTTAGACGAAGGTGAATATATGTTATGTTATGTTCAGAACTACGTTGATGTTCATGTACTTGTTAAAACTGAAGTGTACTATGGGCTACATGGCCTTACTAACTGAATCCGGGGTTAAACAAATAACATAGTGGTGGGGACCTATTCTCATCCGTGTACCCCCGGGACCGTCCTTATCACAAGATTAAGAGTTTCAACTCGCTGCAAGCACGTTGACATGAATTGGAATGCACCTAGTCATCTCTGACACTACATCTAGAATGTCTTTCGCATAATTTAGCAATGTTTGAAATTAAATAGTTAAAACGAGCGTTACATTCCTGAGCAGAAAATCAAATACTTCCCGGCCGAGAGAAAACCCCTCTTTAACTAAAGCAATAGCAGTTGAATAAAACGATCAAACGTAAAATGACTTTTCAACCAAAGATAGTACAGTAAACTACGGTTATAACGAACTCAAAGGGACCACTAATTTTAGTTCGCAATAACCGTAGTTCAATGTAAGCATATATACAGCATATATACAGCATATATACAGCATATATACATCAAATGACCGGGACTAAAAATAAGTTCGCTATATCCGTCAGTTCGTTATAAGCGTGTTCGTTATAAACGTAGTCTACTGTACATGCAAAACTGTTTAAGAAAATCTAGCGTGTATCAAACTGGTACAAACCTTGGGCCAGTGGAGGATGTCACTGATCAGGAATCCCGCTCTGTCAACAATATTTCCATTAGCACTGCTGTTACTGTTGAGATGACAGGTGCGCGTTTTCTTTTCAAATCCAAATGACAGACATGCAGAGGACATGAGACATGCAGATGCACAGGCGTACGGAGACGGACTCCTGAACTTTCTAAATATCTGGTGTTCCATGTACTTGTCATGCTGCACAGCAGTAGCCATGTCAAAACAGTTGTCACAATATACTAACTTTACGATCTCCAAAATGAAGAGAACAAGTTCCCCATGGTTAGAAGGCATCTTCCACACAGGATAATATCAACGTGCTTCAGCTCCCTTGCAGCCCGCAAGTACTTCTAATGCCCATCAGTCGCTGCCTTTACCGACAACATCGATCTTCACACAAGACGAAACGCCCGATAGAACGTACATAAAACATAAACTCAGTAAGGGGTCGATTAGCTTAAGGTATTGTGATGTTCGTCAACGTCCATAAACATTTGACTTAATTGTATCAAGAATACAGTTTTATCTGCCTTTCTGGTTGTTTTCATAAAAATACCGAAAGTATGTACTTTGCCGACCAATTTCCTTTCCATAGCATTAAGATAAGATGAAATGCAGCCATTTAAATTCGTTTTACTAGTTTCTGTTTGTTTGTTTGTTTAACGCCGCACTCAGAAATATTCCCGCTATATTACGGCGGTGTGTAAATAATCGAGTCTGGACCAGACAATCCAGTGATTGATATCATGAGCATCGATCCACGCAATTGGGATACGAGGACATGCATCAACCAAGTCAGCTATCCTGACCACACGATCCCGTTAGTCGCCTCTTACGACAAGCATAGTCGCCTTTAACGGCAAGCATGGGTTGCTGAAGATCTATTCTAGTCCGGATCTTCACGGGTCGTTTAACCAGTAGGCTAACGCTGTTGTACAGTTTTTAGCAGCACCTTATTAAGATGAAAAGAAAGATTTCCTGACCCTTCTAAATCTAAATATTGTTATTTATAATGATATAATGATTTTATTAGCACTGAGTGAAAATTAAGCCACCTTACTGGGAACGAACTGTGAGTGTACGTAAACACAGGGATTGTCGACTTCCAGGAATGTTTCAAACCTGCGCTGCACTGATATTTGGCGTTAGGTGGCTTTGGGGGGATTAAGATAAGTATGGATACATTCGATGTGTACTACGATACTTAAAAAATACATTCCGTACTGGAGGTTCAGAATTTCACGCTGTTCTTGTCGGACAAGCGGGAACTCGAGAGTAAGACCGACCGGTATTATTCCAAAACCCTTCATCCTCATGTACCCATGTCAGTCCTAAGAGCTGCATTAAATGAACAATCAACCTAAACTTTTGTTAGTCTTAATTTAATTATTAATATTTTTTTTAATCTCATCTTAGTCCTGAGGTTCAAGCCTCCTTTAGTTCAATTCTAATTGATCCAGACTGCACAATATCGGGGGAAATCATCATTACATCTCTAGGGTTTTTTGTACCGTTAACGAAGACGAAAATATTGCATTAGTGTGTCACATCATGTATGACAAACAAAACACAATAAATTACTAAAAAAACAACATCTGGCCGATTCAAATGACGTGGATTGCTAATTGTAACAACCTGTAAATACCTCCCATGGTCGATGAGACGCCAATTATGCATTTCAGATCGAAGTGCGGCGAGGGGGTTAGAAAAGTAGAACTTGACATTTAATTAATGTAAAAGCTTTTCAACTACTATGTATATAAAATAAGATCTATGGAAGCTACATCTTTCAAAAAAAAGAAAAAAAGAGTAAGATTGAAAATGAACTTAATCTTCAACAGTATCACAATTACAGAATTTACAAAATCGTTGAAGTGGAAATTTTAATGACATTTTAGTTTATGTATTTTTAACAATCCTATTTCGTAAAAATGATTTCTTAGTTATGCTTTTTTAACCTACATTTGTAGGTTTATGGATAGGTAGGCTGTCAGATGAAGACAGTGCCTTCTCACGTGAGCAAATTCCGACCCTCTTTGAGGCTTTTGTTAGACATCGGGGAATTCGTAATTCGAATTGACAACGCAATTACGCAGCATACGGACGTTCATTTGGGAAATGAAGGACTATTGGCTTGGTGGTGTTCATACAGGCGTGGTCACCCGCTACTATCAATATTGGATGATTGACTGTGTATTTCTTTCGGTTCATTGAGGTATGAATTGAAAAACCGATGTGCAAACTGTATGAATCCGCGTAGCGGATTCTTACAAAAATTTGCACATCGGTTTTTCGATTCATACCTCAATGAACCGAAAAAAGTACGCAGTCAATGCTTATAATTAAATTCGACAACGTAAAACATGTTTCATCTGCGAAAGTTTTACCAAAAACAGTTAAATATATCAAAGCAGACAAAAATGACGAGATTGATAAACATTCCAGGAGTAGGAATACATACTGTGTCGTGACATGAATCAGGTGATCGTTTAATTTATGCACATGACTTGACACGCCTACACAGTCAGTAGCCAATCATTGGACCTGTCAATTAAGGCAAGAGGCGAAAAGAACTGCAACAGTCACTCTGTAACGAACCGGAAGAAATGTGAAGAAATGAATGCAATAACACGTGACCAATTCAGCTAATCAGAATGCAGGAATTTCAATGAACACAACGAAAATTTAATTATTAACCCGTGAAGCGCCGTGTTAGAATTGGTCGTCAGCAACCCATGCATATCGTAAAAGGCGACTAACGGGATCGGGTGGTCAGGCTCGCTGACTTAGTTGATGTATGTCACCGTATCCCAATTGTGTAGATCGATGCTCATGATGTTAATCACTGGATTGTCTGGTGCAGGTTGGATTATTTACAGATGCCGTCATATAGCTAGAATACTGGTGAGTGTGGCGTTAAACGACAAACAAACAAATGGAGATTTCCAATCATGATTTATCACCATGCATTTGGTGTAGTCTACCGTGAGGACGAGCGCAGAATTCTCTGGAATGCTGAGAACACCGCAATCTATGTGTACAAAGCTTTGAAATTCCTTTTGCCTCCAACATTTGAGTGAATTACCCTATCGCATCCGCATTGCGCATTCATGCAAGGGGCTCTTGACGTTCAATGTGTATTGTGTAGTGCAGTGGAATATCTGCTTTGGACTTCATTGAGTCATTGTTTTGATATCCAGGCGAAAAGAACGTTTTACTTGTTGTGGGGTCAAAAGTTAGTCTGATTTAGACAGAGGTCCGTATTAGGAATTTTCTAAGAGATGATAACACATGTAAATAGAAACAAAGTTCAAAGAAGTATTATTATGAATCATAGTACATTCGGCACAATTGATATCGCCTTGTATTACAAATGCTGATTAGTTAAAGTCCTGTCTCGACAGATTCCAGTGTGAGCGGTAATATTTGTAAATGTAATATTTGTGAAGAAAATATGTCCATATTAGCAATAAGGTAGCTCAGTGTCTCAATCAAGTTTTGGCACGTCACGCCGAAACTGCCGAGCTCGATTCCTTTCATCAGGGTAATGTTTCGAATGAAGCCCATTCCTGCAGCCACCCGACGCCATGATATAGCCGTTGAAGCGTATACCACCATACACGTGTATTAAGTGCACTTATAAACTGATTTGAAAAACTATTTTCACCTTCCTTAATTATTTAGGCATAAAATAACGTAAAAGGAATCATTCTGTACTCCGTTTGGATAACTATATAGCTTCCCTTTAAGTGAGTGAGTGACTTGGGTTTATCGCCGCTTTTAACAGTATTCCAGTTATATCGCGGCGTGTCAGTTTAAAGTGGGAGGAAAGCCCGAAGTGATGCAGGTCTCAGACGTTTACCACTTCGGTGAAACCCACGAGCATGGGTATGGTGCTGACAAACCTAAAAACATAATCGGGGCGAACCGGGATTCGAACCCACAATCAGAGGTTTCTGGCGTGCCCAAGGGACGCAACTCTGCACAGCGAATCGCGGCGCCTTAGACGACTGGGCCTGAAAACTAAGGGGCACATCTGTGAGCCTGGCATTTTTCGCATAGAAATAGTTTCAAATACGGGTTTGAAATACTATTTTCTCCTTCCTCAACTATTTAGGTACAACGAAACGTAAACGGAATCGTTCTGTATCCCGTCTGGATAACTATATAGCATCCCTTAATTACCGGGGGCTGTCTATGCAAACGTCCCTATTGAAATAGCATGAAAACGTAGTGGCACATCTGGGAGCCTCGCATTTTTCGTAAAAAAATACTTTAAAATACGGATTTGAAATACTATTTTCTCATTCCTTAACTGTTTATGTATAACATAACGTAAAAGGTATCGCTCAATACCCCCTTTGAAGAACTATACAGCTTCCCTCTAACACAGGGTTTATTTAAGCAAACGTGCCTATTGAAATAGCCTGAAAACTTAGTGGCACATCTGGGAGCCTCGCATTTTTTGCATGGAAATAGTTTAAATACGGGTTTTAAATACTATGTTCTCCTTCCTTAACTGCTTATGTATAAATAACGAAAAAGGAGTCGCTCTATACCCCCGTTGGAACCATGTATGGCTTCCATTTAACACGGGGGGCTGTCTAAGCAAACGTTCTTGTGGAAATAGCCTGAAAACTAAATGGCACATCTGGAAGCCTCGCATTTTTCGCATCAAAATACTTTAAAATATGGTTTTGAAATTCTATGTTCACCTTCCTTAACTATTTAGGTATAACATAACGTAACAGGAGTCGCTCAAGTCGCCCCCTTTGGAGAACTATACAGCTTCCCTTTAACACGGGGGGTTATCTATACAAATGTCTATATGGAAATAACCTGAACACTTAGTGGCACATCTGGGAGCCTCGCATTTTCCGCATGGGAATAGTTTAAATACGGGTTTGAAATATTATTTTCTCCTACCTTAACTATTTGGGTATAAAATTACGCAAAAGGAATCGTTCAATATCCCCTTTGGAGAACTATACAGCTTCCCTCTAACACGGGAGGTTATCTATACAATAGGGACGTTTGTATAGACAACCCCCTGTGGCAAAGGGAAGCTATATAGTTTCCGAGGCAGGATATAGAGCGGCTCTTTTTATTTCATTTTATGCCTAAACGGTTAAGTAAAGAGACGATAATATAATATAATATAATATAATATAATATAATATAATATAATATAATATAATATAATATAATATAATATAATATAATATAATATAATATAATATAATATAATATAATATAATATAATATAATATAATATTTCCAACCCGTATTTTAAGTTTTCAGGCTATTTCCATAGGGACGTTTGCATAGACAACCCACACGTGTTAAAGGGAACCTATATAGTTTACAAAACGGGGTATAGAGCGATTGTTTTAAAGTTATTTTATGC